AGTTTCGATTTTATAAGAATATTTTGTTACCTATTTGAATCTGTTTGCTATTGAAAAAAAAAACTGTGTACCAGAAGGCGAAAAGCATAAATTTTTTTTAATTTCACGAACATTTCTCTGTTTTTTAAACAATTTGAGCAATTGCATACAGATGTCACGAAGATATTACAGTGTTCAGCTACATTCTTAAAGAAGACATTACAAAAAAGCACAGGGTTTAGCATAATTTCACTTTCTCGCAGCATATTTCTGGTGAGAATTCCTGCTTGATATATTTGTCAAGTTCGTCGACCACCTGCAAAAAATTAGAACTTCAAAGGCATTAGTCTAGTTGTGTAAATTAATCAAACAGTTATTATGGCTATGTTTATAATCATTTTTAAATGTATTAAACACGGCATTGTTTGATTTCAACTACGAGATTACCTGCATCATCTGCTCTATACAAAGTTGTTGTAAGAATCCAGCTTGACTACAGGTTTCCTTAATCTGTTTCTTCAAGAATTCGTTGCTGTATTGTATTCCAACTTGTTCAGCTTCCTAAATGTTGCAGTATAGAATGCTGAGAAAAGCTTGCTAGTTTTGAACCTTTTTTTGTTACGAGAAAAATTCTGCAATTAATTTTTGCATGAATGGCTGTGTATTTAAAATGGCTCATCTTACTTTCAGAATAGTTGAATGCTTTGAGGTCAACCAATCAGAAAGCTGTCTAAATGTTAACTTACTTTGAAATTTTCAACAAAATTTTTTGAAGTTTTCAGCTTAAGTAATTATATTCTAGCTTTTTAAGGTGGCCATAAATCTACAGCGTTTATGTGCTATAAAGTAAAGTTGTATCTGTAGCATCAAAGAAGTGAAAGAACGTCAGTAAGGCATAAAAAATTTAATTACTTGTGAAAATGTAGTATTTTATGATTTTTTATAAGTGTTCACTTATTAGTGTTGATTACTGTAAGAAAACTGATTAAGTGTAATCACTACGTTACTTTGCTCTTTAATAAGTATACGCTTTTCTTCAATGTTCTGTTTGAGAAGCACAATGCAATTCTTGTTTTGTTCAAAACAAACCACTGCTTGCAAATGTGTTTGAAAATCTGACTT